ACTACTACTACTACTATTACTACTATTGCTACTATTACTACTATTACTACTATTACTACTATTACTACTACTACTACTACTACTACTACTACTCCTGCTCCTACTCCTACCCCTACGTCTACTACGCCTACGCCTCCACCTAGGCCTACGGCTATGCCTGCGCGTACGCGTACGCCTACGCCTGCGCCGACTCCTACTCCAACTCCTGTTCCTCCGCTTCCTCCTGCTGCTACTGCTGCTGCTGCTGCTGCTGCAACACTACCAGTGCTACTCCCTCTGCTGCTACTACTGCTGCTGCTACTGCTGCGACTGCTGCACGGACGGCTCGACTCTGTTGACTATGTTTGTAACGATTGGGTATTCCTGCTGTTATATCAAAACTGCTGCTTCTTCCAGCTGAAAACGGGGTTCAACAACCTGCTTCTTCTGAAAGGCAAACTAGAACCGGAAAAGGAAACAACACCAACATCTCTAAGTCCTGAAGTCTATGCCTATGCCGTGACCGTTTCAAACTCACCTGGACAGTCAGGTTCAGCAGCATGTCTTTCTGCCTCGCAAACCTTGCCAAACAGGCAAACTGACGGTGTGGGAAGATTTTGGGTCTGGGGCTGGAGAGTTTGTTTTGGGGTGTAGGCCCGGGGTGGGGAGTTTTGTTGGGAGGGCAGCTCGGGGTCGTGGAGTGTCGCTTTTCAGAGGATCCCGTCGCCATAGCCTTTGTAAACCGAGAACACCAAAACTACACGCCGAAGACCAAGAATCACACTCTGTAAAATGAAAACCTGCATCTTGAATGAATCCGAAGTCCCCACATCCTGGCAACTAAACATTTAGTGCCCAAACCTACAAAACAGTACTATTCATCATCATCATCATCATCATCATCATCAGCATCATCATGATCATCGTCATCATGATCATCATCTTCATCATCATCATCGTCATGATCAACAGCAGCAGCAGCGGCACCAACAACACCACCATCACCATCATCATCATCATGATCAGAATCATCACCACCATCCTCATCAACCTCATTATTATCATTAATTATCTTTTCTTTCCGTCGTCCTCACCAGTACACCCAGCATCCTCAGCATCACCTTACTCATCACTATCTTCTTCAAGTACCCATCATCATCAATAGCAGCAGCAGCAGCATCACCATCGCCTGCTGAAGTGACTCAAATGTGGGTAGCAATTCCGATCACAATTACTTGTTTCGGTGGTCCAGGTGATAGCGGCGGCGGTGGTGGACGATGACCATGAAGTAACAATATTGCAATATTGACTGTCGCACTTTGGGCCTGTGCTGATAGCCACGACGATATCCCTGTGGGCATTCGGGTAGGGCAGCAGCAGCAGCGGCAGCAGAAGAGAACATGCACTTAGCTTGCATGTTCATGTTTTGGGGCTTAGGGGTGTTAAGGAATCTGGAGTCCACATCATATCTTGTCCGGGTTTGATGTGAATCTCTCGCTTGTACAATACGCAATAAATGGTGATGAGCGCCGCAGCAGCTCCTTTGCAAACCTGTACTCTGCGGCATGGTCACTGTTCATTGACCACACTGCGAAGTTCGCGAAGAGAGTCGTTGACCTGCAAGATCACGTAGGCATGCAAATTTCATGTAAACCAAAACTAAACTCCAGTTCGCACGTTCAACGTGGCAAGTAGGATCCTAAGGATGCAAGTTCACTCACATCGCAAAGTCTCAATCTCCAAAACAAAACCTCAAGCTCAAAACTCCACAACCTTCCACTTTCAAGCCCCCCTTCCCTTCCCTTCCCTTCCCTTCCCTTCCCTTCCCTTGCCTTCCCTTCCCTTCCCTTCCCTTCCTGCCTGCCCCCCGAAGCACAGGGAGGAGGAGCCCCCCCAAACCCTAGACCCTAAACCCTAAACCCTAAACCCGCAAACCCTAAACCCTAAACCACTGAACCCTCCAGGGCCTCCTGGAAGCTGGGTAAGCCAGTGTCTGGGTCGGAGGTCTCCTCCTTCAGCAGCCTTGGCTTCAGCTCTTCGGGGGCTGTGAAAGCTTGAAGGTTTCATGTAGGGTTTAGGGTTTAGGGTTTAGGGTTTAGGGTTTAGGGTTATGGGGTCTGATGGGATTTTGTAGAGGGTCGGAAGGTTTATGCCGCTTCAGGGATTATAGTGGATTAGGATTTGAGGGTTGTCAATCTTTGGGGGGGTTGGTTAGGGGGGCCTACATCAGGCTGCGTGGACTCGAGATGAAGGGAGTTACACGCTATGGTATGTGGGCGGGAAGTTTCTGCCACGCCACCCGGCTTAGGGTTTATGGTTTAGGGCTTAAGTCCCTGCTTTCTAGTCTAATATAGGGGACCTTAATAATTAGAATAGGGTTTGGGGGATATTATTATATAAATAATATAAGGAACCCCCAAAACCCTATTCTAATTATTAAGGCCGCTACATTGCTAGTGTGATTGTTGCGGCCCAGACCAAAAGCGGACAGCTCGTGGTGGTAGAAGATCGAGCAGCACAAGGGTTCTACTAGGTTTAGGGTTTAGGGTTATGGGGTTTAGGGGTTTAGGGTTTAGCAGGGGGAGTAAAGGGTTTAGGTGTTTAGCAGCTTTGGCTTCGGAACGTTTCGGAGGATCTTCGGGCTTTTGAATTCGGGTTTGGGCTCTGGAGCTTGCGGTTTCTGGGTTGAGCTTCAAAGCTAGGAAGGGGCATGGAAGTTAAAGCTTGAATGAGGGTGAATTGCGCTTCTTCCGTGTAAGCCATGTAGGTTAACAGCACTTTCCACGTATTCGTTGGGTTGTGTCGGTGTTGGCTCTCGGGGTCTGTGCCTTTCTGGCCCAAAACATGGGGTTCTGGAGGTCGGCATTGAAGCATCTCACGGACTCGCCAAACTTGGCGGCCAGCTATCCAGAGGCGATCTTGCGAGTTTTCTTCTTCTGCATCCAAGCATTAAGAAGCGGTAAGACTCCATCTAAGGCGGCTCACAGTGTGTACAATATCGCATAGAAACCCATACAACACATACACATACAGATGCACTTGATTGTTTCCCTACTCAGAGACTTACTATATACACACCCCTGAACACTCGGATCCTTCTAAGCCGAGGAGCACCACCGGCTGTGATGCCATGGGTGTTTTATGCATGGATTATCTATTAGCGAATCCCTGCAGGGAGTGTAAAGAAAGTGAGTGAGGGACGCTTGTATTTAACTCCCCAAATGCTAGGATCCTTGTTGTAGGCCTGGTGCCGGGCAGGACTGTTTTGCGTTTCCAAGCATCGTCACGCCCAGATAACATCACAAGATATAGTTCTCACTGACTGTCTAATACGGCATGCGCATGAAATTACATATAAGCCATGCCCCTGCAGAAGGTTTATTGCCGGCTGACACTTTAGAGCCAAGCTACACCTGCAGAGAAGAGTGCTAGGGTCTTGATGCTAAGGGTCGGAGGGGAGACACGTGTGTTTTCGAGAGCTACAAGTTCGCTGCGGAAGCAGATCCTAGGACAGTCTTTTCACCATTTGACACGGGCTGGGTGCATCAAGAGAAAGAACTCAACTCCCCAACCAGGAGCGGCTCGGACGTTCCCCCGTCGCCGCCAGACGGTTAAGCGTGAGATGAGTGGCCCCAGACGGGTCTTTAAAGCTGAACGGGACCCAGAGAGCCTTCAATAAGAATCTCACAATACATCAAAGTATCCACTTGATTCATACCGGGTTGTTATATATGAAATACTATAAGCTATATATTCCAAATACTATATATTGTACTAAACATGACATATTATCGGGCTCTCTGGGGATTGCTGGCTGTCTTGGACAACCGTAACGTGCCCAGGAACAGGCTCTAAGGTCTGGCGAGCCTGAAGCTATGATGCCACAGGCTCCGAGAAGACTCGGTTAGGGCTTATAGGCCTTATAGGGCTTATTGAAGGGTTTAGGGTTACATGCCAAATATGCCCAAATTGGGATAAGGAGTATATACGTGTACTCACCATCACGTAGCTAGACGCATCATAGTACTGCTACCTCGTGCTTGAAACTACCCCTAAGGGTCCAGGTACCCCCCATCCCAAAGCATGGGGCAACCCTAAACCCTAAACCCTAAACCCATCAGAAACTTCGGATAGGAGAAGGCCGGGCAGCCAGAGAAGTAGCTAAGCTTTGCCATCTCGGGCTTGCGGCTTATTCGTGATAAGATACGATAAGATATGATAAGACATGAAATGATAAGACATGTTATGATATGATATGATGTGATATGATAAAACATACTATATATGATATGGTATGAGGTGATACGATGTTGTACTATATAATATGATCTTATAAGATGTTATGTGGTTCCTAGTTTCATGCTGAGCAGCGGTGTGGTTGTAAATCCAACTATGCTATCTCGGTGCTTTTTGTGGGAGACTTCCTGACATCCTCGGTGCGTCGCGACTTCAAGCAACTAAGCTTCCATGATCAAGACTCTAGACTCTGAACTACTAGCCTAAGGCTCGAAGGGTCCAAGACTTCGCAGAAAAAGTTATGTGGTCTTGAAGGCCATTCCGCACGCGTTTTGTTCGAGGCTCAGGGCTACTGATGTATTGTGCATGGCGTGCTATCCGGGTTCGCTCGACGAAAGCGAATCATCAGGCTGCTCTTCTTCCGACCTTGGCCACACTTGAGCTTAATGCTTAGGGAGACCTTAAGGGTTCAGCTTTCTGTGGCTTACGAGCCTTATCAATTTAGACGCCTTTGAGGGGTAGCCCTGGGCGCCCTAAGTCAAGCATCTATTCGGGCCATGACGGGTCCTGGCACTCAAAACACTGAACCGTCGAGTCGCATAGAGAACCTCAGAACCGAAAGCCACGGCCACAAACCAACGAAGTCTAAATCCGTAAACCAATAAACCCACTGCCCTAAAGTGCACATCCTAAACGCCCTAAACCCTCAAAATGCCCACAACACCCCCAGTGCTAAGCCGTAAGTCCCCGGCATTCCTCCAAGAGGCTGTCGGAGTTCCCGAAGGCGCTGTTTACTTGCATCATGCGGTCACCAACCTTTGCTACAGGGGTAAGATCCTACTCCTACTACTACTACTACTACTACTGCTGCTACTGCTGCTACTACTACTACTACGACTACGACTACGACTACCACTACCTATAACATTATACTAGGTATTGTATTTTGTTGTGTTGTATTCTATACTACAAGTTGTATGCCATGTTTCTTTTAGATCAACGCAGTATTTCAACAATTACATACCACATCTTATTAGCCCAATGCTGTATAGAGATTTACAGGCTTCTAGGGCTTATGATGGTTTCAGGATGACCTTCACGGGACTCCTACGGAGGTGCCCTCGCTGGGGGGGAGATATGAGCGTTGCCGAGACCCGGGAGCTTCTGAGAGTGTGCGAGTGGCCTAGGGTTTAGGGTTTAGGGTTTAGGGTTTAGGGGTTTAGGGTTTAGGGTTTAGGGGTTTAGGGGTTTAGGGTTTAGGGGTTTAGGGTTGAGGGTTTTTCTAGAAAGAAATGGCAAGTGAACTTCATGGGTAGTTCTCTAATAAGGGTCCCTTTGTAGGTCCCCGAAATACGAATTACTACGGCACCCCTATAAAAAGGGCCCTAAATCGGACCCTACTCTAAACTTTCGAGAACTACCCTTATGAACATCGGCACAGCAGGTCATATGCATTGCCGGGCATTACATGCGAGAGTGCGTGAACCAGCTTGGAATGCGAGTGGTGCCAGATCATGCAGCCGTGCTTTCTCTAAACCCTAAACCCTAAACCCTAAATTTTGAAGCACTTTGTAGCCGAAGCTCTCGAACAGAGCTCGTGCAGGAGCTGAGATGATTCCACTCCTCATGGACATAGGACACAGGCTTTCCAGGATCCCTAAGCCCTACGACGACCTCTAAGCGGTATGCATCGGTGCAGAGACACAAACTTCATCGGACACCACAGGCCAAACAAAGTCTCTGGTATGAAGGGAGGTTTCAAATCTCTTCGGGGTTTTATGGTCAGAGTAAGGCAGAGGCAAGAACCCAAAACATTGGTGCGACCGTTTGTGGAAATTCTATCGCCGACAGCAGCAGCACACTGTCATCATCGTGTTCTTGCTTCCCGTCATCTTTTTTTCATCACCAGGGGCAATGGAGGCGACTCTATGCTAATCTTCTTTACCGGGATTCCCTTCTGCGGATCTTTGCAGTGAGAATCTCACCACTTACGGCCTTTATTCCTGGTTCCTTATGTTCTGGGCAGTCCCATTCCAGCAGATCCATCTGAGATCTGACGACCGGCCTGCACCAGTCCCCGGCCAACAGCAGTGACCTGCAAAGGCAGGGGTTGAGGCTTTAGGGCTCCTGCAACATCGTACTTCCGATGATGTTGCTCCCTTCGCTCCAGGGCAGCACTCTGGAATGAATCTACAGGCTCGCTCAACGCGCGACAGCTGAGGCCTCTATGCAAAATACCCAAGTCCCTAGCCGTCCAAGTCCTGAAACCCGAATCCGTGAAAGCAAATGCTCTCGGTCAGGGCTCCGCTTTCTTGATGATCATTGCAAGTCCAAGCGCTGATCTGTCACCGAAGCCATACTATTCCGTGGCAGTTTCGTCACTGCAGCTTCTTTTGTATCTCTCTCTCTCTCTCTCTCTCCCTTTGTTTGTTTCTTTCTCTGTCTCCCCAAAGTCAACGCCCGAAACTCATGTCCGGACATCTCAACTGCAAGACTTCGCAACCCTGACACTTGCAAGCAGCTTGATAGTCAAGACCAGAACGAGCGGCCCCTTGCAAAAGCATGGAAACCACAGCCTGACTGAAATACCACAAGCCGTAACCTCCAAAGCCCGGAACCCTTTTGCCGCGAACCCCTGAACCTCCAAAACCTGGCTCTTCTGTAAATGCTCTCCTGGTCCGTGCCTGGAGACTTCCATCCGGCAAAGCTGCCACGTCTAAGCCGAGCTTTGCACCTCCGTGTCGGGAGCAGGATTTAAGTTCATGCAATGTAGACTAGGGTTTAAGGAGACGCAAAAGCATTATTGTACGGGGCCTTCAGAGGGTCACTGGTTTGGGTGCTGAGTATGCAGTCCTCTATAGCCAGAAAAACCCTTTGTTGTGTAGCAGGCTTCTGCTCAAGCGCAGGCAGATTTGTGAATGGACGCGGAGCAGCTGGGCTCTTCCAGGGTGTATAGGTCTGGATTGCAGGATACGGCCCCACGACTAGTGTTTGACTAGGTGATGACACATCTTAATCCCACAATGGCAATCACCTCGCTGCCGGAAAGCAAGCCCACAATGAAGTTAAACTCGTAGGCGTGACTTGGAATCAAGAAGAAGTCTCTACAACCAGGCGAAGAGAGACAACCTATGCTGAAGTTCCTATGTATTCATGTATGTGCGCTCTGCCTCTGCCCTTCTCGAGGAAAACGTAGAACTCATCCACGTTTGTGCTGTCCTCAACGTCTCAATGTTTTCCGGCTGTGTTGCTCTGCGAAGATCCCTTGTGGACTTGGAACGGACTTAGTAAGTTTCACGCCGAACCAACCCGAAACCCTGAATCCAGGGTTAAAAAGACAGCTTTGTCCATGATCAATGCATAACCGAATTTGCTAGGGCTTGGTGGCTGCGCTATCCCTCAAGTCCAAAAACAGGACCCAATACCCAGGAAGCAGTAATCAATTCATAATGACCCCCTTATAGTACCAATAACATCTGTTAATTACTAGGCTATGCTATACAACTATACTATACTTTCTACTATCAACTACCGCGTACCATGCCATAGGATACGACACGATAACCCACCTGAGAAACACACACGCACATGACAGGTCTTATGTATCTCATGCATTTTGATGTTGACGGCATGGCATAAACCCTGCTTTGCTGTCCATAGAAACGAGACGAGCATTGCAGAGATTAGTCGAATAGCCGACTGCTTGAACAACAGCAGTTGTAGTCACGACAATAATGTTGAAACGAAACAAACTTATTATGTTTTGGTGTACTGAATGACCACTCTTGACCCGGGCGCACCTCGCTAACACCAGTCTGCAAGGTATCTCGCGACACCTGCCAGTCTGGCTACTTGTATGTAGTGTCGTGGTTTTTGGCCTCCAGCAAATTAGGGGCTCGATGCCACGAGCTGAATCTTTCCAAACACCTCATCCCATGTCGATTGGGGTGTGTCAACGGAAGCAGGCACCAACTAACATGAAACGGTGAAAGAAATGCTGGGTATACTTGTACACACACACACACACAACCCCTGAGCCACGAGATCATGAAGCCCTGGGACATAATCTTAAAGCCCTCAGCGCAGGCCTAAGTCCTAACCAGTTACCGCATCCTAAACGAAGGATGACGCGTGGCAAACCGATCAGTCTATCCAACGCGCGTAAAGGTTACGCATCGCATCTCAAGTACCTCAGCCACCAACATTTCTCACTCTCTAGAGAGGGACTTCTATTCTTGGAAAGTTCAAGGATCTGAGTTCGTCTCTCCTTACATCACCACGGCCAGTTTCTGTAAAGAACAAATATATAAAACCACCAAGTCTCAAATAGGGATACACCAACAAAACGAGGGCCCCTGGGGATGCACTTTTTCGTTAGCAACTCTTAGCATATGTGGTCATTTTCGTGAAGGATAAGACAGACAGAGGCTGCTAGAGTCATGAAAATGCACTCCCGCAGTTCCACATGCAAAGGCGCCCATGCAATCTACACTGCAACCTTATTATTGTTGGCCTTAGGCCTTAGGCCTTAGTCGAATTCTGTGTTCTTATGAAGTCCTGAAAGCGCAGAATAGACCACAGGGCAGGTAAGAGGAGGGTTCGCCCGGGCTTCAGAGGGCCTCCAGAGTGCCGAGGTTGAAGAACGCAACCCTGACCTGGCTTTAAATATACATATAAATAATAAACATAAATATAAAAATATATATATATATATAAAATCATGTACTAATATTATATAAAAACAAAAAGACTACTCAGAGGAACTTTGATCGGTCACTCGGCCCAGGCTAAGGCAGCTAAAGCTCATGAGACGTGTGGGCTGGATGGGCAATGGTCGCTGATCCAATTGGTCCATGACCCACCTGGTACTTCCCCAAAGGGTCCAAGTACTAATATAGTCTATATTTTGGGTACCTACTAAGTACCTGCTATAGTGGTACTAACTGGCGTGACAAGAAGTTGATGCCCGGAGGAATGCTAGAGTCTGCTAGAGGCTTACCGGACGGGAACAGGAGACTGCCGCAAGCTTGGGATATTGCAGTATCCGGCAGTCTGGCACAAGCGCACTAGCCACAAGCCACCTCGCCAAAGTAACAAATCGTAACTCACAATCACATCACCAAGAGATGCAGTTGCCAAGCGAGATTGCTTTAGAAGTTAATGCATCGACCCTCAAGACCAAGCCGTGATACGCGAGAATGGGGCATGGCTGCCGAAGATGTCTTTCATGAAGCAGGAAGGAGACTGTTGTCTACGGCATTTCTGCAACCGACGATCACAACCCTAGACACCTTACACCCCCTAAGCCCTAACCCCAAACACCTAAACCCCTAAACCCCTAAACCCCCTAAACCCCTAAACCCTAATCCGTAAACCCTAAACTCCTAAACCCCAAAACCCTAAATCCTGAACCCTACATGAGAGAAGCCGGGCCCGGTGCCATCTGAGGGGAGCCGGCAGCTTGTGCGGTGCAGACGACGCCCTCGAGGGCTGGGTTTAGGGTTTAGGGCTTTCGGGTTTTGGGGCTTTAGGGTTTAGGGTGTTAGGGTTTAGGGTTTTGGGGTCTTTAGGGTTTTAGGGTCTTTAGGGTTTTGGGGTTTTAGGGTTNNAGGGTTTTGGGTTTAGGGTTCGAGGTGGGAACACCAAATGACTCTGCAGGAGGAATCTTCGATAGCCTAATGTAGGGACCTTAATATTAAAAGAGGGTTTTGGGGGTAGAATACCTATAATAAGGACACCACCCCACCCCC